CTTTGCGCGAAATTCAAAACAAACAAACAACCATTCATCACGGGGTGTCTGTAAAGGAAAGTAACAAATGCGATCTTTTTTGTATAACTGTAGAAAACATATTAATCAATGTAACCGATGTGAAAGCAACTTACAGTATTTATAACCTCTACGTTTTCAGTCTCTTCAACAGTTACAGGCCACCTAATTACAGACATTCATTTAGCTCGTCACAGGTGATGGATAGTAGGACCATATCCTACATAAATATACAATTATACGTACAATATCGAAATAGTTTTGTAACAATACTTGTTTCATTTAGTTCAGAAATATATCTAAAAACCACTTACAGTAGATGTGTTATCCATAATTATCGCTACTGGAACTGCAAGATACCGCAATTGCATAAAAGTTGAATTCAAACTGATTGTAGTCTGATTTGATTGTTTCCTGTATATTGTAAAATAGACTTAGGCAACTCACATCTGTCATATGGTTGCCAATGACCTTAACATACAATATTTGAAAACAACATATTTCATCTGGTATATAGGAACACTGATTTTTAGGTGAAAAGATAATACATGTTACCGTAACATTATTTCAAAATTGTATGTCAGTTTTGGAAATTCACATTTTCTAAGTCTAAAACATCGATGAACAATTATAACATGTGATCGGAAGCTATTTAATATATAAAATAATAATCATGCTGTTTGTTGTAGCCTGATATGTCTGAACTTACCAACACCACCCAGAAACAGCTGAACTTATCAACACCACCCAGAAACAGCTGACTCTGTCACCATTCAAGTACATAATTCGTTGTGTAATAAAATCGCAAATCTCATACATTTCACATGTCTAAAAAGTTAATGTAGTTTTTAAGTCTAAGTAGATATCATAAAATATTAAAAGTAGAACTGAATCGATCATGGTTAAGCTAAGTTACATTTTGAAAAATATTTTAAGCTATATTTGTAGACTGACCCTGTTTGAACTTTTGACTGATGTTGGGCACGGTTTAATCTTACTGCGTAGTAAGCGTAAAATGTTTTTGTTGTATAGTGCTGTTGAAATGCAAGAATTGTATAATGTCGTTTATAAACTAAGATCATTCGTGCTATTTATTACCTAACAAGTTTAATTGTTAGAGTATAATAGAATTTCTGATTTGTTAAAAAATACATACATTTGAAAGTGTCTCAATTTTAGTCTCGTTTTTATTTTAAAGCATATTCTGTAATGATAAATACTAAATGTGTTACTTTTATAAACATAGAAGATGTGAAAAACTTGATAAATAGTAAATGTGTTAGATTTATAAACATGAAAGATGTGAAAAACTTGATAAATAGTAAATGTGTTAGATTTATAAACATGAAAGATGTGAAAAACTTGATAAATAGTAAATGTGTTACTTTTATAAACAAAGAAGATGTGAAAAACTTGATAAATAGTAAATGTGTTAGATTTATAAACATGAAAGATGTGAAAAACTTGATAAATAGTAAATGTGTTACTTTTATAAACAAAGAAGATGTGAAAAACTTGATAAATAGTAAATGTGTTAGATTTATAAACACAGAAGGTGTGAAAAACTTGATAAATAGTAAATGTATTAGATTTATAAACATAAAATATGTGAGAAACTTGATAAATGGTAAATGTGTTAGATTTACAAACATAAAAGATGTGAGAAACTTGATAAATGGTAAATGTGTTAGATTTATAAACATAAAAGATGTGAGAAACTTGATAAATGGTAAATGTGTTAGATTTATAAACATAAAAGATGTGAGAAACTTGATAAATGGTAAATGTGTTAGATTTATAAACATAGAAGATGTGAAAAACTTGATAAATAGTAAATGTGTTAGATTTATAAACATAAAAGATGCGAGAAACTTTAACTATTTCGAATTTATCTAGATTTGAATAATTTAAGTTAAAACTCTTTCAATATAATGTAAACATCTCTGTATTTCAAATGTCTTGCTCAACTTTTGTTTCCGGCTTGTAGTTTAATCATTTTATCAGCTCAACTATTCTGAAGTTAGATAGGCTGATGGACCTTAGGTTGAACACGTCATAATAGGTCTGAAAGAAATGTCTCCATGATATTAAAGACACAGAAGAAACGAAAATAACGTCTATATGCAAGAAGTTACAGGAGCGATCTCTCAATGATCATTGGACGTTTTGATTAACGCATGAAGAATAATAACACCATCTTCCATTGTAAAACACACACAACACACCTAGTAAGATCACCAGCCTTTGTAAAACACACACAAAACACCTAGTAAGGCCACCTTCCATTGTAAAACACACACAACACACCTAGTAAGACCATCAGCCTTTGTAAAACACACAATAAACCTAGTAAGACCATCTTTCATTGTAAAACACACAATACACCTAGTAAGACTATCTTCCATTGTAAAACACACACAATATACCTAGTAAGGCCATCAGCCTTTGTAAAACAAACACAATACACCTAGTAAGACCATCTTCCATTGTAAAACACACAATAAACCTAATAAGATCATCTTCCATTGTAAAACACACACACAATACACCTAGTAAGACCACCAGCCTTTGTAAAACACACACAATACACCTAGTAAGACCATCAGCCTTTGTAAAACACACACAATACCCCTAGTAAGACCACCAGCCTTTGTAAAACACACACAACACACCTAGTAAGACCATCGGCCTTTGTAAAACGCATTTAAGAAAAAACGATTAAGTTGATAAGATTAAAATAACAGATTATTTTACTTACTCTAGAAACAGCCAAAAGTATGTCACGAATTAGTGAAGTGTTTTATACGTACACTAAGGATAATTGTAAAAAGTATGTTAGGCAAACAAGGTAAAATACCATTGGTTAATCAATGATCCTATGAACTATGCTGACATTGTCCTTAGTAGCGTCATCCTCTGATAGAAACTTAGTAACACTATCCTCCTATAGAAACACGTGTAATACAGTTAAATATATAAATGAAAAATATAAACACAAGTTGAGACAAGTTAAAATCTGTACGTAATTTTACAGAAGTATACTAACACTTCCCATTATATAAATACCATCCATCTTTGTACAACACATACAAAACACCTAGTAACACCACCTGCCTATACAAACACTAAGGTTAATAACACAATCCACCTAGTAATATCATCCATCTATACAAATGCTATCTGTAGTAACACAATCTACCTGTAGAAACATAGTCCGCTTTTGTAAAACGTATTAACTGTTTTACTTACAAAGGGAAACTGTAAAAACAATGTTAGGCAAGTTATATTAAATTATTAATTTTGAGACTTTG